GGACTCAAAACTGAAGTCTCTTATCTTAATCGAGGTCAGAGTTTCAGGGGCACCCAACGGCAATTTTCGGGAAAATATCTGTTCGGAAGACGATTTGAGATCTAGAATTTTCGGAGCATTTGTTGTAAAATTTCTTGCTTGCCTGCCTCTCCTAGGATTTTCGAACATCGACAAAATGGTATAATTACCCATTTTTAACGGATTTTGACCCTAAAAAAGGCCACCTAGAATTTTCGGGAATAGACTTTCAGCTAGGAAATCCGAACAGATGAAAAGTTTTTAGGGGATAAAAATATGCCTATATCTACCGTTTGAATACTAAACTACGTTCAACAATGCTATGTTAAGTGGTTTTGAACTATATCCTCGTTGGGTGCCCCTGGAGTTTGAGTGTCTTGGCGGCACACTACCACGCAAGCTTCCGTTCAGTGCCCCCCTCATGTTTCACAATATGTTCGTATAAAAAGGTAATTGGTGATATCAGGAATAAAACGTGAGGCTTTGAATTTCTTAAAATCACTGTTCGTTAACTAGTCTAACAGAACAAGATATCTCACCCATCCAGATACTGTTTTGTGCTTTGAAGTGGCATCGTCCTCGTTGAGTTTCATGTGATCTGTAGCCAAATATCCTTCCACCGCTTCACCCATCTCACGTGTAGTGCACGTGATGTGATTTTCATTTAGCTTGGTCTCCCACCACTTATCCTCGTACCAGCCTATAATAATCCATACATATTGCTTGCCGTACATGTGCTGTTTGTATGCCTAGAAAGAATGTATATGCGTATAGATACAGTAGTAAATATTTAATTTGATAGAAAAAAAAATCTTGCTCGAAGGAGCAGTAAGTTCATGAAAGCCTTTGGTACTGCAGACCATATAAACGCGATCGCTTGCCAATAACAACTTTAAAGGCCCTGATCGGAATGTTTTTATATTAAAGGAGGGTGTTAAGGTTAACCGTCAGTCGTCAAAGGGCCTAAAATGTAACCATCAACCGTCAAAAAAGGTTACCTTTTACTGTCGTCAAAAAGTTTCAAGGTATTTCAAATCTCTCTATTTCAGCTGATCTTCACGGACCTCTGGCTCCTGAAGAATCTCCAAACTAGAAAAATCAGTTCCTATATTCTCAAGAACACTCTTTCTAGACAATGCAAGACCTTAGAACTTGCTTATATCTAAAAATGTTCTAAATTCTATTAGCGTATAAAGGCCAAGACAACCTCCAAAACACAACAGTTAATTTCAATTTATTCAGAAGGAAACATTTACTGAAACTCTCGGACTAATTTTCCACTTTATAACTGTCAACTGTCAAAAGCTCTAAAATTTAACCGTCAACCGTCAGTTACCAGCCTGACATCCTCTTAAAAGGTTATCAATTTTACTTGTAATAGAGCGTGGTCAGCGGATACGCAAATTTTAAATGTGAACAAAAGAAAACGTTTACATATGAAAGGTTCTCAAACTCCCACAGGACTGCTTTGGAACACTAATATGGCCGCTGTCACGTCACGTGCAAATCACCAATACAAATATGACCGCCTTGACGTCATGTAAAAACCCTCTATAATCATTCTTGACAACAAATCGTACCTCACAAAAAACGTGTTTTGCTTTAACCACGTAAAAGCTACCGATGATGATTCTGGCGTCTTTCTTCTGCAAGATGACAAAACAACATTTTGAAGCATTTATTGCGACTCAGATTTCGACAGATATTCAAAAGAGTTTAGTTGTGACGTGCTTATCTGGTATCTGGAGATGTATCATTACGTTCAGTCCCTAACTGTTAAAGGATCATCATCCGTTTCTGGGAAACTGCCCACCTGCCCCTCCCCTAAGCCAACATTTTTCCCTTAGTGAGAAATAAGTGTTAATGTTGGCTTAGGGGATGGGTTGGGTGAGAGGAGGGCTGTGGGAAACGGGGACTTCAGTACGGACGTCAGTATCACGTGTTTTTGTTTTGGAAAATCTCACCCCCGCCACGAATTTTTATCTTCTCGAAGATTCTGAATGTTCTCTGATGTTGTCTCTGATTGTTTTTCTGAGAAGCTGATGTATTGCTAGTTTGCAGGTTTTGAATTATAATCTTGAAGATCATCTGACGAAAGCCTACGATTGTATCCATTTTATTCAAGGGCGAAAAAAGACATTTCTCCTCTGTTTCTTTTCCTACTCTTCAACGTTTTTTGCTTTCACAGTAGCGAAACGGGAAGAAAATTGCACTTGCTCATCTCGCCAATTCTCCGCTTTGCTCGTTTATTTCCCGCGCAGACATACAGTGCACAACGAGAACACAGACTGGTCTCACGGTTAAAAAATGGAGCAGTTTCCTAACATAAAACAATGGGACGTGACCAACAAGGTTCAAGACGATCAGCACTTCTGGAGTGTGAAAACTTATAAAACAATCGTTATTTTCTTTATCGTAAGAAAAACATTTTCTTATTATTATGCAATGCGGTCAAAATTGATAAACACAGCGGGCCTCACCTCTACGCAACTGTCTTTTACCCCATCTCGCGCCCGCTCGTTGCACTTGACTGGACAAAGAATGGCTACGTGGAAGACTAACAACCTGCCTGTCATTTGTTAATTGTAATTTTTATTAGTTAGGTTTTCCTCCTCCTGGTAGAACATTGCAGTGATTTGCAATTTGATTTTGAATCTTGGGTTGAGTCGGTTCTGATTGATTTTCATTCCTGAACGAAACAATAAATTTCGGTAGCCAAATATCCGTTCCACCGCTTCACCCATCTCACGTGTAGTGCACGTGATGTGATTTTCATTTAGCTTGGTCTCCCACCACTTATCCTCGTACCAGCCTATAATAATCCATACATATCGTTTGCCGTATACACCGTATTCACAAATGGCGGACACGCGGGAAAAAACTGGTGCCTAGTCATGAAAGCGAGGCGTTGGAGGATAAACAAAAATTTCAAATGAAGACTTTCAGTGAACTTCCAGAGTGTTTAGCACGGATTCCACCTAAAATAACTTTGTACGGACTTCTTTTTAAATACAGTTACGTGGGATGTCTTCTGCTTTTAATGTTTAGTAATGATTTGCTGTTTGCAATCAAAAGGGACGAGTATATCTGCAAGGAAACAGGATGATTTTGTAGGTTTCCGAAGCATCAGAAGCAGGACACGACAAGTGGGCGATGGCTTGAGAAAAGCGGCAAACATGTTGGCCCAGCTTCACACTGTAACCGAATACGAAAGCCAGATCACTACAATTCTGTAAAACAGAAATAAAAACAGATATTGGTGGCGAGAAAAAGAGAAATAAGCGACGGATATATGGCCACTGAAAACAGGTCAAGCTGAGAGCGGGTGAAAGATTCATTCACGAGGCTCATTCATTCATGTTAGTGACATCTTATACATATCTATGTATATATGTATGTCTGTATTTACAACTTCCTTTGGATCATATTAATTCCGTCGCTTTGGAGCGAATTGTTAGAGGTACGTTGGCAGAGCTTAGCAAAAATCTCATGATTTCGTTGTCATTGCGAAATAATTAAAAATAATTTTATCAAAATTAGAAGCTGTAGTGTGTGAATCTTATGGCTTGCTATTTGCCTGGTCTCCTTTAGGGCATTATCTCAGAGAGCTCTTGGTAAAAAAAAGTGGTATAAAGCTTACATTTTACTAGGTTAAACTTTTAAGGCAATGTTTGTGTCAGGACTGAACATGGCAAGCTTCTGTTTCGAATAATTAAATTCGAGTCTGGATCCGTTTAAGAAGACCATCATTTTATTTATTTATGTATTCTTCAACTTTAAAATATAATGGAACATAAAGTTAAAACTCTTAACAGCCAACGATAAGAAATACGAAATTACTCGCTGAAATGATGTGTCTGGCTTACCGAGTCTGCCGAGTAACAAGTTGAAATTTTGAGCGTACTCCACTCGATCGCTCCTGCATTTATAATAAAAAAAATAGTTATAATTGATGTCCTTCGTTGATAAAGACCAGAGAATAACGTCCTGGCAAACAAAAATCAAACATAACTTCATCGAAACCTCAGTCACCTCTTCTTTCCTGTCTTCCTTTTTTCCATCTCGACTTGAACTGTTTTGTTCAACGGCAGACGTCTCTTGCGTTAACAAGTAGGCCATGTATCTGTCGCTTATTTCTTTTTTCTTGCCACCAAGATTTGTTTATATTTCTGTTTCACCGAATTACAGTGAGCTGGCTTTCGTACTCGGTTTCAATGTGAAGTTTGGGCCAACATGTTTGCCGCTTTTCTCCAGTCATCGTCCACCTGTCGAGCTTCTGATGCTTCGGAAACCGACTCGAAAACCTACAAAATCATCCTGTTTCCTTGCAGATATACGCGTCCCTTTTGATTGCAAACAGCAAGTCATTACTAAACATTAAAAGCAGAAGACATCCCACGTAACTGTATTTAAAAAGAAGTCCGTACAAAGTTATTTTAGGTGGAATCCGTGCTAAACACTCTGGAAGTTCACTGAAAGTCTTCATTTGAAATTTTTGTTTATCCTCCAACGCCTCGCTTTCATGACTAGGCACCAGTTTTTTCCCGCGTGTCCGCCATTTGTGAATACGGTGTATATGCGCTGTTTGTATGCCTAGAACTCGAGAGAACGTATATGCGTATAGATACAGTAGTAAATATTTCATTTTGAATCTTGGATTGAGTCGGTTCTGATTGATTTTCATTCCTGAACGAAACAATAAATTTCGGATATCACTGGATGTGTATTTTAAAAAACTGATTTAATTACTTTACACAAAACAAACTAAAAAAATGAAAAAAATAAGGAAGAATTAACAGACAATTCACAAGAACCTTGTTTTAACGATGGTGTTCTTTACAGCCCTGTCAATCGCTTGTCAAGAGATTTTCTATGGCAACTGCCACTTGTCCATGAAGCATGAAAGTGCAATCATTTTATTAATGTTATCACCCCTACCGTTATTGGAGTGTTTTTCAAAAATTAAAGACCACCGTAACAAAATGATGCTACGAACTATGCCATCAAGGAGGCAGTTTATGTTGATTGTCCTGTTTTTTCTGTGTATACTCTTCATGTTGATCTACCACGGGCAAAGAAATTTGAAGCCAAACGAAACTACCACCGACAATGAGGGTAAGAGTGACTTAGAATGAGGCCAAACGTCGAACTTTTCATGAGACGAACCAAACTCTAACTCTAATTTTCAACTGAATCAAACCAAAAACCAATTTTAACCAGCCATAAAGAAATTTTCTCCCTAGCGAAGCTAGCTATATATGCATCATCATACATATTTTTAATTTATTAGTTTAGTTGGTCGAATGTGAAGATCGACGTTTGTCCCGGAGACGATCTTCAGACGTTCTTGGCCTTAGAATCCTCTCTTAACTTTGCTGGTGACAATCCAGCGTAAACTAGACCTAGCTAGAAATGGCCGATAAAATAGGCAGTCTTCACTAGAATTCTCCGATATTTTTGGAAACCAATCTAGCTATCATAGATACACTGCCCAGTACACATAACCCGTGAAAAGCACGTAGAATACGTCAATTCATTATAGTTTTACATTCGAAACCCTGATTTTCTTCGATTGCAAATGTCGTGCACGAAGATGGCCTGCGCCACATGATAAACCAAATTCTGATTAAGTGTGCTAACCGCGGTGAAATTACGTCTGCCACACAGGTGCTACACAATTTTTTTATATATATATATAAGAATGTTGCTTTTCCGCCCCAGGCTGACTATTCCTTCTTCTGTCGATTTTAGGCTGAAAATATCCTTCAATTATTCTTAATTATAAATTATGGCTTATGGCATTTGTCTCCAGCGCCGTTTAGGGAAAGGAATAATCATACGGTTAAGTCACAACATATAATTGTACTGTATTTACGGATTTTCAACATACAAAATTGAGTCCTTTTCAAACTCTCAGCCTCGGGTATATTCTTAGAATATTCTTAAAATTTCACGAATTTCACCCTCAATATTCTTATAAAATATATTCTCATAGAAAAGAAAGAGCGTAGCGCGAAAGCGGCATGATAACAATGAGTTCATCTATTAAACTTGTCTTCCGAAGATTGAGCTGCACTCCTTGCATTGCATGTATAAGTAAGTAACACATCATTTTTTTAACATAGGAGAAACAAATTACAGCCCAGGGGAGAGACAAATATCCAGGAAACAACGTCTGAAAGAATACTGTAACACTCACACCTATGACAAGAGCCCAACACCTGAAGACCTTCACATGCTTGCTGTGGACGACGAACAAAAATTTATCTACTGCGTGATCTCAAAGGTATTCATGTTTGTTCGTGAACCGTTACACCGCATGGTTTCGGCCTACAAAAACAAGTTTTTACAGATCCCTGGTTACACCAAAGATATCCGCAAAGAAATAGTGAAAGAATTTCGACCTGAAAGCTATGATCCTGACGGAAAAAACTTCGTTAGCTTCCCAGAATTCATTCAGTACTTTTCCGACAACAAAACGCGAAACCAACATTGGCGACAATACGAGAAGATCTGTCATCCGTGTGTTATCGGCTACGATTTTATTGGCCACTATGAAACGTTGACGGAAGATGCACCCCTTCTGCTAAAAATGGCTGGCATCAAGGAGAGTGCGAAGTTCCCACCGATTCACAAATCAACCAGCACAGCTCAGGTCGTGAATTACTATTCCAATGTCTCGGTTGATGTTATCAAACGAATTGGAGAACTGTACCGCAGTGACTTTGAAATGTTTGGCTACGAATACCTTGGCCCTATTAAACAACTTCTGAATGTCGATTGACAGAAATTAAACGGACTATGTTAAATGTATGCTATACAGTCCTAGAAAATACATGTCCCCCTCAGTGGTTTTTTGGGAGTGCCCAAAGTTTATTCGTCCGTAAAGAATTCAGATGAAAATAATAGAATTAGATTTAGTCTGGAGTAAAAGCGGAGCTCTCGTCACATTTAAACCGTTTATATGATTAAAAGTAAAAAACCGAAACAAGTACAATGAAATTGCATATTGACTTCGCCAAATTAGTTGGAAGTAAAAGTCCTTCTCCTTGCAAACAAGAACTTCACTCATGAACAGGTAGTTCCTTATTTACATTTACAGTAGCGCCATTATACCATGCCTGCCTGGATTTCTATGGAAGGTGTGACAATGTTGCCTTGAAACGGGCCGAATAACTTGGCAAAGGTAATATAATTTGCTACTTAGAGTCTGGCATTGTTCACGTCAAAGGCCACAATGCCTTTGATGTCCGTCAACATAACCTATGCAGTAGTCAAAACCATCATATTTGCCCCTGAAAACTTTAGTGCAGTTTAATTATTAGTATCCTTACGCAATTAACAAATTAAAATGATAGCAGTAATCTTTTTACCTTGATGTTTGCCAGTTGATTGGCTGGATTTTCTGTGAAACTTTCTCCTACCACAATCTCGATACCCACGTCTTGAAGAAGCTTGTGAAGCTGTTTAGTGGCCTTAATAAAAGAGAGACTCGATTTAATTTATCTTAGCCTGCATAGCAAGAGTTAGCTTCCGCGCGAGTCCATCAAGAAAGTTGGGACGAGAGCAGAAGAGAGGAATGAAGGGGGAACTTTCGTGCAATACTGAACTCGAGTGGAAACGCTTTATCTAAACGCTCATTGGCTGTCCGACAACACGAGTCAGTACTCCGAATACAGTGGAAGTGGATTTCTAACTAATCTGTCTGTAGCCTCATCGGTTTTTGTTTAAGGAAAAAAACAGACTTTCTTTCGTGCCAGAAAAAAATGGTTGATTACATTAACTGGGTGGTAAAACGCGGAGTTAGATTGTATCCTTCAGAGTTGGTTAAAGTTGTTTCTACCGCTGTGAATGGTGAAGCCAACATTGTATTTACATGTACCATGCACAACGTGGCTAAAAGATCAAACATTTTTTTGTGTGCAAACGTTTTGATGAAGATATTTGATAGTAGATCAAACATCGAAAGCCATTTCAATGCAATGTTGAAGGCGGCGGCTAATCTGATTATGTTCATCATCATGCTTTTCGAACAGGATCAGGGGCGGATCTAGGATTTTTTTTAGGAGGGGGTGCACTCGTCTCTTGCTCTACTTCAACACCAATAAACCACATAGTTTTGCTTTTTTTTGCAGAATACCAGTTGTATTAGAAAACCGCAGGTCACCTCAGGGGGGGGGGGGTGCGCACCCCCTGCACCCTCCCCCTAGATCCGCCCCTGAGGATGTTGGACGAACGTGCATAATGGTTTAGTTGGAGGATAAAGATACACATCCATACTGACCTGCGAGAATATTCCTGATGGTTCGTTCTGATGCAGTGTGGCGACTCTTTTCCATCCGTATTTTCTCAACAAAGCTGCTCTTGCAGGGTTAAACGCTAAGTCCGACGAAATGGTGCGGAAAAAGCGAGGATACAATTCTCTGTCTTTTAAAACTGGGGATGTTGACGCATAGGACACCTACATCAGTGAATAAAAGAATGAGAGAAGATTGACCACCATGAAAAAAGACAAGAAACCAATCCATTCTTAAGTAACGAAAAATCTATGAGTTGGAGAGCTGGGCACCCAAGGAAAGTGTTGTATCTAACCCCCCCGGGGGGGAGAACACTCTCCCGTTATAATTTGAGGCTCCGCCCGAGAGGGGTACCTTTTTCACGCTTCTGGTATATGAAAGAATAGGGATTTCATTAGTTGGAGTATGAAAAGTTGAAAAGGTAAGGAAATCTGTCAGTTCAGTCTCTGAAAGGATCAAAAGGGACTAACAGAATAACAGACGCCTTTTATGGATGTGAAACAGACAAGAATACTTCCTGATTTATTAGTGATTTACTCATATTAAAAAGACGGTGCATCTACAGCAGTTAAAAAAGATGCAGTCTTCTAAACTAGGAATGTAAAGGGGGTACCTTTTTTCAGTAGAAGGTATACGAAAGGGGTATTTTTTGTTGTTGTTGTGTTTTGTTTTTTCGTTGCGTACCCCCAGGGTTCTAAACACATTTTCTGTATAAGCTTTACTCGTAGCAATTCACTGTCCAATTGAAACTACCGTATTGTTGGATTAAAACGGCAGACTTAAAATACGATCAATAATTTTTCTGAGACTTTTTTTATTTTTTTATTTCGACTATGATTCGATGGTATCAATAGAGGGCTAAGCCTTAGCTACGACACTTACCTGCAGGAGGTTCCAGTACTTCGACGTGTCAGCTATCGGCTGGGAGACTGGTGAAAATGCCGCTCCTAAAAGCATTAATTTTGTTGGTTCGTTGTAAATATGATCGTATAAAATGTGCATTCCAACTCCAGGATCACACTATGTAACAAAGAAAATGGAAATACATTGATTTAGAGCGATCAAACGAAATGGAGTCCTAGTTCATGGGCTCAACTTACTTACAAAAACTCAGATATGTGGTTGTGTTTATTGTCCCCCAATTTGTCGTTATTCCCACAACGACTCCTTCTTTAAATTATCAACTGGCGTGTGCCTTTGGAACATTCTCTAAAAGTACAACAAGTACTTGGTGAGTAATGGGCGTGGAAAATGATATGTATCAAACAATGCCAAAAATCCCCGGGCATTAGCCTTGAGGTCAGTTTTTTCCGGCACTCGTTATTCTTTGAAAGAATGGTCTTTTTAAGTTGGCTTAGCTTGAGATCTTTGAATTGAAAACGCCTAATAGGTTTAGAAGAATCTCTCCACCCACCCTAGCTGAAAGATCTGGAGTCAAATCACTTAATGTAAAAGTTAAGCCGTCCATATTTTACGTCGGTGACTTGAAATAGCCATCATCTGAGCAACACAGCTGAGCTGAGGCCTACGGTGCACTAATTTTACTCGCATCTCTCCATAAGTGCTCATTCCGTTTTACTGGTCAATATATAAAGCCATATAAAGCTACAAGGAAACAGGAGCTTATTTCCCCTGACGGAAAGGAATTAAGTCCAAACAAAGATTTGAGTTCACATCTAGGAATCGAACTCTGGTTATTGTATTAACGAGGTCGTCAAATAACGAATTGACTGAACTTTCGTTTGGGCCAGAAAAAAAGTGGTCGTGACTAGGCCAGTTAGAGACTGGGTCGGTGTGTGTCGAAGTGCACCATGGGACTGTCAAGGGGCTTTTTTTATTTTCTTCGGCCGTAACCATGTTGCACAGGAAACTGGGACAAAATTTGTCCCCTAAAACAGTCCAACAGGGCAGTGCGACAATGCCGGCCCAGTCTCACCCAGCCAATGCGGGGTACTTGTTAAGTGGGATCCCTGTGTTCGTGTATATACCTTGGTGTCGTTCAATACCATATGCAGTCGATATTCTGGTAGGATGTCTGTTCGTTCGTTCACTTGACTCAAGGCCAATTCCATCGCAATCTTCACAGCAAATCCTCCTCCCCAGCAGGGTCCCGTCAGGGGAGCGTACGCACCAATGGTTAGATTTTTTAAACCACCAACGAAGGCTGCGCAAATAACCGATATTTATTTCGTTCATTTATTTAATAAATTCTTTCTTATATATCTATTTGTTTATAATCAATTAATCAGCTATGTTGAAAACGAAGTGGATTAGTGAATTACTCTTTGTGATCAGTTTTGTCATGCGCAGTGCTCAAAAGTGCTGGGCCCGGTTGTTCGAAGGCCGGTTAGCGCTCAACCCGGGGTTAAATTTAACCCGGGTTTCTTTTTCTTGTGTTCTAAAGCATTTTCTCGGATAATTTTCTCTGTTATTTTTAGAGCTTCCAATCATCATCTTGTCTACAGACAAAAAGAACTAAAACTGAAATGCTTTTTAAGCTTTGAAATCTGAATTAAAATCTCGCACTAACCCTGGGTTATCTTAACCCAGCTTCAAGAACTCGCCCCTGGGCTGCAATAAAGAAGCCTCCAATGGCTGATAACAAGAGAGAATGGTAACAACAAAATACTTATGTTACTAATGATTATAAAATTTTAAGCGTATTTGGCAGCTGATTTGGCTATGCTTAATTTTCTTTCAAAATATAAAATGAGAGAATGCTTAAATACACGAGAACTCCGGGAACCATCTTTAGGCTACTGGGTCTCTATAGTTAGTAGCATTTCGAAGCATTTCTTATGCTGAGAAACTATTCTCTAAGAATACCTTATATACGTTATCAAGAGCCATAATAGTCCTATATTATGATCTTTTGACGTTATATACGTTATCTGAGCGGCCTAATAGAGGGTGTGAGCACATTATTGGACAAAAGTTTTCTCTAAGAAATGTTGTTTCTTTTGGAGATCTTGAGGAAGTCTTTGAGAAGGAGCTTACAAAATAGAGAATATTCCGGCACTTGTGATTGATATTAGAGAAGCAGAAGAAAAATGATAAATTACACGAGGAAAACGTAAGGAACTGTGAGAATTTAAAAGATGTTAGTTTGCCTCGAGCAATCACCAAAAGTCAACAAACCAAATATTCGCAGTGTGATTGCAGCGTGTGGTAGTTTGTAATCTATTGTAAGTTGTATAAAGAAATTTCATGTTTTATGTGATAATTAGGGTATCTTATATACCGTCTGTGAGAAACATGTGCCACAGTTTATTAAAATGACTTATAAATAACTTTCTAAGCCATAACGTCATAAGTAAGAAACTAAATTTACAGAGGCGAAGCAAACAAAGTTAATCTAGCTGTAATTGTAAGCTGTTTGACGAAGGTGCATGTTGTATATGAAATAAATTCAGTAGGGTGAGAGACAAAATATGCATGTTAGAAAAATCCCGCCGTTTGTAAATTACTCAATTAATCACATGCAAAA